TTTTTTTTTTTTTTTTTTTTTTGGTACCGGGGATCGAACTCAGTTCCTTGTGCTTGCAAGGCAAGAGGTGGAAACACTGAGCTAAATCCCCAAACCATAGCTTCTTATTTTAATCTCTAAAGCTGCATTCTTAAGACTAGAATTGTCAATGGTACAAATGGTACAGTCCTTGTCTAAAACGTTCAAGGCCCTGGACTCAATTCCCAGCACCACGGTAAAAAGGTAAAATAGTGTGTCTTCTGTGTGTCTATATATGTGGTGCACAGATCTGTCCAAGTAATTGAATCAGTTCTTTATTTGGCAGCAGGTAAAATATTTCTGTTCTTGTATTTTTCTTTACATGTTTATAGGATTAAATATTCTAATGTAAGCATGAATGGGGTTCTGATTATATTCTAAAGACCTTTTAAGTTGCCCCCTTTTTACAAAGATATTGGTTGTGATTCAGTGATCCAGAAGTCCCTCAATGAGTGTTACTCTGCACTGTCTTCATGTCTTTTTCTTCTTTCTGTCTAGAGCAGTGGTTTTCATAGTATTTCCCTTTTGTTTTAAAAACAGAGTACTTTGTTTTTGTATACACTTACATAAATAGACTTCAGCTGTTGAAGGGGCCCCTTATGGTTCTGCTGCTGTTGTTGCCCTTACTCACAAGGAAAGCCCTAAATAACTGTTCTAAACAAATACCTAAGCAAAATAGTATAAATGGATTATTTTTCATTATTTATTTAAATGCCCCATAGTCTTTTAAGAAAATCAACCATTCAAGGACCCCTGAAGGTCACAGTGTGCCCATCTCAGATGGACTTAGACTTTATATAGGCTTCCTGAACAAGTGAATTAGTAAGTTTGGGTCTTTGCCAAACTCTTAAAATGAATCTGTCTACTGCTTTCCTGAAATTTGCCTGCTGTTCAGTATATGCGCTCCTAAAATTATTCATAATTTCACAGGCCAGTCCACAGCTTGACTATCAGGTGTACTGAAAGGCTAGAAAAGATGTGTGACCTCTACCTTTGAGGAATTGGATGTGCTGCCAGTCTTAAGATTCCTTGCTTTGCAACCCTTATTAACAAGCACCCTATTATTCCAATATGTATATGGATTTCCTTCATGCAGCAGTTTGTTGCAAAGAAGTTTGTGGGTCATGGTATTTTAGATTAAGACATTTTAGGTAAAATAATGAATAATAGGCTCTTTAATATCAGTTACTCAAAATTTATAACTAATACTTTGGTGGTGATGGTGGTGGTATTTTTTATTTGGTTTGGTTCTGGGAATTGGATGCAGGGTCTTGCAGGCTGGGCTCTTGAGTTTATGAACATTCTCCTTCAGTCTCTTAGAGTGCTGGATTATAGGTGTGTACCTCTATGCCCAGATTCCATAATTTAAGCATTAATGGTGGCTTTAAGAAAATGTAAGCAGGCCGGGCGTGGTGGCGCGTGCCTGTAATCCCAACACTCGGGAGGCTGAGGCAGGAGGATTGCTGTGAGTTCGAGATCAGCCTGGGCTACATAGTGAGTTCCAGGTCAGTCTCAACTACATAGTGAGACCCTGTCTCAAAAAAAAAAGAAGAAAGCGTAAGCAGATTTTTATAACATGAACATTGTAGCATGCTCTGTTCTTTCGTATTATATAAATAAAATGATTCAGCTATTCTGTCCACCTCTTACAGTGCTTCCTGTTTGACTTCAGTGATCCTTTTTAAAACATGTCTTCTTGTTTTTATTTAGTATAACAGAAGAGAACTATAATTTCCTGCCGCAAAGCCCCTCCAAGAAAGATTTTGAAGGGAAGAGTGGAACAAAAGTCAGTCGTACTTTCAGCTACATCAGAAATAAAATGTCCAGTAGTAAGAAGAGCAAAGTAAGTATTACTGTGCACAATTCTTTTGTGACCACTTGAATTAGGCACTAGTAAGCTTTTGTCGTGACCAGTGTACACCCCTCAAATTAAGTTAATGAAGGAACACAAATGAAAGTAAATCCAGGGGCACACTTAGAAATAGGCTAATATTAAGAAAAATAACAGTAATAAAAGTAGCAATATAGGTACTGATGCTCACTGTTTTTATTCTATGCCAAGAGTTTTTATATATCACTATTTAATCTCTTCAGCAATCCTACAGGGGAGGTGTTATCTCTCTTCTTTAGGAATGAGGTAACTTAACCTATGGAGAAGAGGTTCAAACCCAGATCTCTTTGGATTCTGGTCAACCTCTGAACCACAGTGCCTAAGTCAGTAAATCACATTTGAAATTCATTGGGGGAGGGGGTTTAAACAATATTTATAATATTTTGGTTTAGAGAGAAGAAAATTATCCCACAGAAAATTATGAAAATTTAAAAAGATTAATTTAATTTGAGTTCTTTGTTAATTTGGTTTTTGTAGTTTTATTTGATTTTTGCAAGATTGGGGATTCAACACAAGAAATGTTAACCTATATCCCCAATCCTTTTTGGTTTGTTTTGAGATAAGCCCTAAGTTACTTAGGCTGATTTAAGACTTTCAGTTCCCCACCTCAGCTTCCCGACTAGCTGGGATTACAGGCGGGCATCATCATGCCTGGTTTAGACATATTTCTAAGTGGAATATATCCTCTTTAGTGCTCCTAATAGATTGCAGTATTTAAATTAGCTTTTTAAATCTAGTTTTGCATGTTCGTTACAGAAATCTTCAAATGTTAAAAAATATTAAAAACATCTATAATAAATCCTATAGAGACAAATAATCTCAAATTTTCAAATCAGTGGGGAAAACCTTTCAACCTTCCATTTCCCCTGTATTTTATTCACCTACCCATCTATCTTTTGACATAATAAATAAATAATAAAAATTTAAAGTAAGGCATTTTTGCAAGGAATTACTGTGTGTATAAATGTATACACATAGTTATATATAAATGTATACACATACATACATATATGCCTACTTCAAAGTAAGAATAGACAAACTAAATATTATAAAAGTGGTCCCCTTCTAAGCCATTGAGGTACTCAATTATATGGCCATGAAGCTCGCCACCAGAATTGTGTTTTCTCTTCATTTCTTCTGCCCAATTGCAAAATACAGAGAGAGTAGACAGGAAAAGATGCAAAGAATCTAGCAAATTATTTCTAGCATAATCATTTACTTAAATATTAACTTTATCATTAGCTTTGTAACTAAAAGAAGAGAGAATGCTTATCAGTGTTCTTATTGGCAACAAGGCTTAAGATAGAGCCTAATCTATTTTACTTATTCCCACTTGCTTGAACACAAGTTGGCATCAAAAAAAGAAAAGGGAAAATTAGACCCCTTGGAAGGGTCTGTATAAATTAGCCAAATATTACTGAGTGATTTCTGTAATCTTAGTCTTTGTTTTGTTTTGGTACATAGGATCTAATTCGGGACCCTCTGCCTGCAAGGCAAGGGGCAGAACCACTGAGCTAAATCCCCAGTCCCTAAACTCTTCTCTTTTTTTTTGTTGTTTTGTTTTGTTTTGTTTTTTGAGACAGGGTCTCACTATGTAGTTGAGACTGACCTGGAATTTACTATGTAGCCTAGGCTGGTCTCGAACTCACAGGGATCCTCCTGCCTCACAGGGATCCTCCTGCCTCAGCCTCCCAAGTGCTGAGATTACAGGCTGGTGTGTACCACCATGCCTGGCTTGTAATCTCAGTTTTAACCTTGTAAAATTTTGTGATCTACCTTGGATCTTTTCAGATTTTTTGCTTTGTTTTGTTTCTTTTTCTTTTTCTTAAACTGTGGAATCTTATCTTTAAACAAACTTAAGTGCAAGACCAGTAAATAAGGGGAGATTCTTCTGTCCATCTCCCCAATGAATAGACTTTCAAGACAGCATAGTGAATACACCACTGATTTTGTTTATGAGATAAATCAGGAATTCATTGAAAAGAACAGAGAAAGTAGATTTAGAAACTGGAAGGGCTGCAGATTTAGCTTAGTGGCAGCACACCTGCCTCACAAGCACAAGGTCCTGAATTTGCTCCCCAGTACCAGGAGAAAAAAGAAAAACTGGAACCTGATCTTTTTTAAATTTATTTTTGGGGAGGGGTTGCTGGGATCGAACTTAGACCCTTGCACTCAGAACCACTGAGCCAAATCCCCAGCCCAAACCTGATTTTAAAAAAAAAAGTCTTATACCAGCTTCCTTATTTTACAAAGTGAAGCACAGAAAAGTAGGGTTCGAGTCATAGAACTTGACAGTATTAGAGTAGACTCTGAATTCTAGCAATTAGCACTTGGCATTTCATACTTACTCTTTATGGGGGTTCGAACTCTGGACCTTGTGCTTATGATGCAAGCTGCAGAACTGCCGAGCTAAATCCCTGGACCTCGTGCTTACTCTTAACCAAAATTTGTTAGTCGACATATTTTCCACTTCCCATTCTCAAAGGCATAGAGTTATATAGGAGCTGGATGAAATAGGAGGGAAAAAAGGTAATTTGTGTTAAAGAGTCATCTCTCATCACTTACTGTGTTGAAGAATCAGTTGACCACTTGACTCTGATCGTCTCCTTTGTCAAAATGAAAGTACTCTTGCACCAGTTGAGACTGGTTCCTCTTTCAGTCTTGGCTGCAAGATTTGATCTTTGGGACTGTGCTGTTTTTAGCTACAGCTCAAGAAATTACTAATCAATAACCTTAGAATGCACTCCATTTCACATTATCTGATGTCTATTTATCATGCCCAGTGACCAAGTTTATTGAGAGATCATCTTCTATAGTTGTTATTAATTGACTTTTAAATAAAATTATTGTAGAACATCCTGTACAACAGCTTGACTTTTGTCAGTGCAGCCAGAGATTGTATATTTATTACAGTGAAGCAGTGTTCTGTTTGTGCTGAGTTGTATTACAAGGTCTGATAAGAATATACAGTGAATGTTTAAGTTTCAAAAATGTATTATTTTTAAAGACATTGCCATTGATCCTCCTCAGAATACTCCCACTCACTTCAAATACTTTTATTACATCATTCTTGCCACTTTCTGAAGGAGCTTTAGAAGTTCTCTTTTACGGTTGTCTTTATGAGATCTGATCAAAACTATGATGAATGTCGCTACTGAATGCCATCCAACAAAAAGACATGGTTGTAAAAACATCGCAGTGTGTCTTCATCCGTCTTATTTACTGCACAGGCACCATGTGACTTCTGGCTCTTCCCCAAATTAAAAAGGAGCACGAAAGGTAAACCTTTGGAATTGATTCAGGCCAGTAAGGCAGACAGGACAGCACAATTAGACACTTGTGAAAGAGGCCTCAGAACTGCTTCAGAAAGTGGCAAGAACAATGGGATAAATGTGTTTGAAGAATGGAGAATGTTTTGGGGGCAGTTGATGGCAGTAAATCTTGTACTGTAATGAATTTAAAACAACAAAAAGACTCACTGTATTTTTTTTTACACAGCATAAGTAATCCTGTCCTATGCCATGAATTCATAATAGAGCTTTAACATTTAGAAGCATTTTATTTTGTAAAGATAACAAATACAAACAAATGTCAAATTTTTAGCATGATGATCCTAATTCTTTTTCTTAACCATTGAATGTTCACCTCCGTAATATTAAAAAATAATTAAAAGTGCTAATATAGATGTTAACATTGTTTTTTGAAAATGAGAAATTTTTCACTTTTTTAAATGTATGTTATAAGCGTCCATTGAATATTTTATTCATCTACAGAATAATGTAAACCCATTTTTTGAAAAAAAAAATTTAAACTTTTACCATCATATTTTAAAAAGCACTAATAATTCTTATCTAAGGGTGGCTTGGAAATTTCTGATTTCCTTAAGCATGATATATATTTATATAGACAGCTTTTATAGCTATTAACCTACACATACTACAGAGGGTATATTAAATTGTGGTCGTAAACAGTTCTTAGATAATATTAAAGGAGCCAGGAGTCAGCTATTACATAGCAAATGGTACATTCTTTATTCATTCATGTGTGTGTGTGTGTGTGTGTGTGTGTGTGTGTGT